TAGGGGTAGAGGCCCAAAGAAGTGGACCGGCCAGACGACAACCAGGCCCTTCCCAATCTGCGCCAGAACGATTGGGACAGAGGGCGCCCGTGCGGCAAAGATTAGGATCACGGGCCGAGGGGTCCTCTACCAGAGGCCCTCGCCAACACGAGAACAGACAAGCCGAGAGATCACCCACAGAGGAGGTGGGCGAGTCTCGGGAGCCGACCCCACGCCGACACGTTGATGAGTCAGCCCTACGTCGACACTTGGAGGAGCGACGCGTCGATGAGCCGGCACTGCGTCGGCACTCGGCGGAGAAGCGACGCGCTGATGAGCGGGTCCCACACCGACACTTGGATGGACGGAACGTCTAGGAACCTGCTCCGCGTCGACACTCAGATAGACAGCACGTCGATGAACTAGCTCCACGCCGACACATGGAAGAGCGGCAGCCGGCCCCGCGTCGGCACCCTAACGATTCGGCCCTGGTCGAGAGGCTGCAGAGAAGAATCGAGGAGTTAGCAAGAAGGGTGGAGGCACGGGAGCAGTTGCCGGAACCTGAGGTACGGATGGCAGCACCATTCTCCCCTAGCATCATGGACGTACCTTTGCCGAGGGACTTTAGGTTGCCCGCCATCAAGGAGTACACGGGGGCCACTGACCCACGTGTCCACATGACGAGGTACAAGGCTGCTATGGTAATGATCGGGGCAGGGGACGCCATCATGTGCCGAGCGTTCTTGTCCACACTGGATGGAGCGGCCCAAGACTGGTTTAACACCATCCCAGATGGGTCGATCCAAAACTTTGGGGAGTTATCCAAGAGCTTCCTAACATACTTCTCCGGTAGCATACATCGCAAGAAACCCTTCTCTCACCTCTGTGTAGTGAAGCAAGATAGAGGCGAGAGCCTCAAAGACTTCCTGATCAAATGGAAAAAGGAAGTCAATAATGTCTACGACTTCGACTCCAAGGCGGCGATCCCGATATTTATCCATGCCTTAAGATCGGGGTATTTCCACAAGCAGCTGAACGCTCACCACCCCCGCTCTTACGAAGATCTGATGAGGACGGCTAGCCGCTATGCCGAAGCAGAGGACGTCGACAGGAAGAAAAAGGACGAAGAGGATGGTAGGAAAGATGGGAAGCCTGGGAAAGCTGGTCCGCCCAGCCAGGCACCACTCTCGAACCACCCGACCGCAGGGAAAGGCCGAGACCACGAACGGCCTCGCCTGGTCCCCTTGCGTAATTTGACTCCTCTTACCCATCCCGTCAGTGTCATTCTAAAGCAAGCTGAGGAGATGGGAATGGTAGAATTCCCCGAGGAGTGCATGAAGGTCTCCCCAAAGGCAGACCAAACAAAGTACTGCAGGTTTCATAGGCATGCCGGACACGATACGGATGAGTGTCACGTTTTGAAGAGACAAATAGAAGACCTCATCCAGCAGGGCTACTTCCGACATTTCGTCAAGCGATCCAAGCAGCAGCAACAGCCGCAACACAATCCACCAAAAAATGTCTGGAGGAATGAGGATGGCACCGAGCCGTCCACCTCAAACGCCAAAAAAAGAGACCACGACCAAATATCTGAGACGAGTGATAGCGAGAAAGAAACCGAGGTGGCGCCCAGACGACAAAAGAAGCACACCATACACTTTATCTATGGTGGACCTGCAGGGGGCGACACGCCCGCGGAAAGAAAGAAGTGGAGCCGGCAGCTATACGTGGGAGAAGTGGCGAGTCTTCCCAGAGAAAAGAAACAGAGACAGGAGGCCATCACCTTCTATGATGATGACCTCCCAGAGGGCCCGTTACCCCATCGTGACGCCCTGGTAATTGAGATGGACGTCAATGATGTCATTATCCGCCGCATCTTAGTCGACACGGGAAGCTCAGTCAATGTGATGTATTACGATGCCTTCACCAAGTTAGGGATACTTAGGAACCAGCTCAAAGAAGTACGTACCCCACTCTCTGGATTTACGGGTGATTCAGTGGAGACGGAGGGGTCAGTGGTCTTACCAGTGGAGATAGGCACGAGCCCTAACATTCGCAAACTTGACTTGGAATTCATCGTCGTAAAACTCACTTGCGCGCACAACATCATATTGGGGAGACCGGCACTGAAGAACCTCAAGGCCATAGTGTCGGTGGAACACTTGTGTATGAAGTTCCCCACTCTGAGCGGGATAGGGGTCGTCAGAGGAGACCAGCGAGCGGCCCGCAGTTGTTACGTTAAAGCATGCAAAAAGATTGGCAGAAATGATCTATAAGTCCACACCATCTGTAAGGATGATCGATCGGGTATGGAGCTAGGAACATTTGATTAAGTATTTTCCATAATATTCTAGTAGTCGTTTGGAACTGGTGTTTGGAAATCGCGGTTCGCCCGCTTTGCATTCTGAAATCTTTTGGAAAAATATCTCGTGCTTGCGGTCAGCCCATGTTGTTTCAAAAAAAAAAAAAAAAAAAAAATTGGCTGAGGGTGCGCCTCAGCCAAGGCCGAGGCACAAGCCTCGGCCAAGTGGCCTCGGCCACATGGTCGAGGCCGCGTCTTGGCCACAGGCCGAGGTCGCGCATCGGCCACTCGAAAAAAAAAAAAAAAAAAAAAAAAGGGTCTAGGCGCACGCCTCGGCCAAGTGACCGAGGCGACGCCTCAGCCACATGGCCGGGGCACACGCCTCGGCCAGATGGCTGAATCCGCGCCTCAGCTCAAGGCCGAGGCGCACGCCTCGGCCTCCTGATCGAGGCGACGCCTCGGCCACTCAAAAAAAAAAAAAAAAAGGGTCGAGGCGCACGCCACGGCCAAGTGGCCGGGGCGCACGCCTTGGCCAAGTGGCCGAGGCGACGCCTCAGCCACATGGCCGGGGCACACGCCTCGGCCTCCTGGTCGAGGCGACGCCTCGGCCACTCGGAAAAAAAAAAAAAAAAAAAAAAAAAAAACAGGTCGAGGCGCACGCCTCGGCCAGATGGCTGAGGCCGCGCCTCCGCCCAAGGCCGAGGCGCACGCCTCGGCCACTCGGAAAAAAAAAAAAAAAAAAAGGGTCGAGGCGCACGCCTCGGCCAAGTGGTCGAGGCGCACGCCTCGGCCAAGTGGTCGAGGCGCACGCCTTGGCCAAGTGGCCGGGGGAGGCACACCCCTCGGCCAGATGGCTGAGGCCGCGCCTTAGCCCAAGGCCGAGGCGCACGCCTCGGCCACTCGAAAAAAAAAAAAAGAGGGTCGAGGCGCACGCCTCGGCCAAGTGGTCGAGGCGCACGCCTCGGCCAAGTGGCCGGGGCACGCGCCTCGGCCAAGTGGCCGGGTCGCACGCCTCGGCCAAGTGGCCGAGGCGACGCCTCAGCTACATGGCCGGGGCACACGCCTCGGCCACTCAAAAAAAAAAAAAAAAAAGGGTCGAGGCGCAAGCCTCGGCCAAGTGGCCGAGGCGACGCCTCAGCCACATGGCCGGGGCACACGCCTCGGCCAAGTGCGCCTCTCGGCCGTGGCCGAAGCGCAGTGCCTCGGCCACAAGGCGAGGCACCCGCCTCAGCCAGGCTGAGGCGGCGTCCCAACCCGAAGCCGGCCCACGCTGCAAAAAAAAAAAAAAAAAGTAATGTTAAACCGCAGAAACCGGCGGATGGTGACAAGAGCTGATAGAAAGGTGCTCAAATTGCTCAGGCAGGAAGGGATCTGGAAAACAAAATCGCATATCCTAATTCAATCAGGATGACACAGTATCACGATTGATTCAGCCTTACTCCCAAGTCAACTCAAACACATTCGTAGACTCAAGAGTAGAGGGGACTGGTGACAGGATAATAGGCCTGGCACCCGACCCGGATCATAATTGTGCATCTGACCCGGCAGCATATTTGACCCGACACCGCATGGATGCTCCAACGGTTAGAATTCCAACAGGTGTCACATTTATTGTCATTGAAGCCACCATTGATGTCACCATTGATGAGAGAGAGTTAAAGCCTTAACGCCTCATTCATGACTCTTCATATTCTTGCCGTTAGCTCAGCTCCCCAAGGATGTCTCTTCATGTTGTTACCGTTAAGACCTAGCATAAATAGAACTTCCCTCAGCTGAGGAGGACACTGTACTTTCTATACTGAGACAAGAAGCAATACAACTATTGTTACATCTATTGTTACCTTGTCACATCATTCGTTACTCTTATAATATTATATTTCGGGTAACATATTTACCGCCAAATTTTAACTACCTCAAAACTGTTAGAACTCTAATCCGCATATCTTTATAAATTGTTACAGTATTTACAGTATAAAAAGATAAGTAGAAAATCAATTTATATTTCAAAGTCTCAATAGAACTCTAACCCACATATCTTTATAGAATTTTAACTACATCAAAATTGTTAGAATTATAACCCACATATATCTTTATAAAATTGTTACGGTATTTACAGTATAAAAAGATAGGTAGAAAATCAATTTATATTTATTCATTTCAAATATCACTAGTAATCATTTTATATTTCAATTTATAGTTAAATCAATTTAAAATAATGTATTACAACAAATTTGAGTTATAAAAAATATTAGAATAACAAAATTAATTATTATTTCTTTTTATTTAAAATTAAAACATAAACAAAAATAAGTATTGAAAATATAAACTTAAAAAAACATGTATTGAACAAAAAAAGATGTATTGAAAAAGAAACTTAAAAAAATATGTATTGAAAATAAAAACGTAAAAAAATATTGCACAAAATAATTAGGCATTAAAACATAATAATAATAATAATAATAATAATAATAATAATAATAATAATAATGAGATTGATTATTAAATAAAAAAATAGAGATTAATGTTTGACTACATTTAATAAGGTGGTGCAAATAGCACTTTTTTATTTGCACCACCTATAAAACTATTACACCTATTAAATAGGGGGTGTAAATAGCAAAATATGTGGTGCAAAGAATTTGCCTTATCAAAACAGTCCACAGAGCGCGGGAGTTCTCTAAACTTAAAACCCTAAATCCTATTTTCAGACTTGAGACTTTGCCCCTCAAAAAGACAAACATAATCAGTTCAAGCTACGGAAGCCACCAACCTTCACAGGTCGCTGATTCACGCCAGACAAACATAATCAGTTCAAGCTACAGACCTTCATCGATTTTTTGTCGATTCACGCGAGAAGGCCCGTCGCCATCATTCTGCTATTGCTGGCTCACCGGCGTCGCCGACAGTTTGCCTTTGCGACGCAGCTCCACTGCTCCAGGTTCATTTTAATTTTTAATCAAAGTTGACTTGTTAGTTGTTTCATTGTTTGATTACTTCCATGAAATTAGTTTCTGGAGTCATTTTATAAATTGAATTAGTCAGGCACAATGTTATTGATTTAGTTCCATCAAAGTTTATCATTTTTATCCGGCATTGTTTGCAAAGGTTGAACTTCTCACTGATTAGAGTGGATAAGTAATGTTCTATCTGAGCGAAATTGAGCACACTTTGAGATTACCTCCCCATCTCCTCAATCTTCCACTTAATGAAGCTATCAAGGGAGAGCTCGAGGGTCTCTTTGTAGACAAGGTTTCCATTTCTTCTATTTTTGCCTTGGTTGTTGCACAATTCATGATTCTATTTTCTTCTTATTTATTGAGAATTATGATATTTATGCAGGTTATTGCACAATTAGGGCTTTGTATATCTGTATATGATATTCGCTCCATTGATGGTGGTTTTATTTTCGCAGGAGATGGTGCCTCCACATATACGGTATTATGTGTTGATGAGCTTTGATTGAATTTTATTTTTCTCTATCTTTGTTTTTTTTTTTTTTTTTTTTTTTTTTTTTTTTTTTTTTTTTTTGTGGATAATAGTTTCCTAGATTAGTTGAAGTACTAATTTATTTTTATTATGTGATATCAATTTGGCTTTATGCATTAGGAATTTTTCCCAGGAATTATCATTACATTAATACATTCTAGAAGATATTGAGAAATGGTAGGAATATACTTTTAGCATGATGAGTGATGTTAATACATCATCAATCTGTTGTTCATCCTCTGTCCTCACCATTTAGCTTTATTTATTTCTTTATTTCTTTATTTTTAAATCTGTGAGCAAAATATTTTAGCTTCTGAGTATAAGTGATGCTCCATATTGTTTGATCATTTACTTGAGTAGTTAGAACCCAGCCTTACTAAATATATGCACGTATAGGTGCATAGAGATCAAACTTCTTAAAAAGAAAATAAGAAGTGAGAAGAATATGGAGTGGAGTTGTATATAGATTTTACAATTATGCTTTCAACAACATATGGATATAATTTCTTAGTTAACAATTGCAAGTGAAACTTTGAATCTAAAATTTCCATGTGAAGTACAAAATAGTGTGCACTACTTTTCGGTCATGTTTGAGAGCACAGGATGAGCATGCCATGTGAGGTAGCATTAGACTAGAAAGGAGTAGATATGAGACATGTTTGATAGCTAAACCCTATACTTTTGATTGCATCTTGTATAGTATTCCATATAAGTTGAATTGCTTATATCTATGTTTAATAAATCCTAAATAAACATGGTTTTGTTGCAGGTGAAATTCAGATTGATAATCTTTCGCCCGTTTAGGGGAGAGGTCATAGCAGCAAGGCTGAAAGAATCCAATGCAAATGGTTTACGCTGTATGGGTTACAAACACATTAACAATATGATTCCATTCTTATTGCATGTGGATATATGTTACTTTTTCATCATTTCATGTTGTTGAGTCATATCTGTATGGAGACACATATGTATGCGATAAGTTGAACAAGGGCTTATAGTGAAGTGAAAAGTAATAGGAAGGTAATCATTAACCTTTGTCAAATGATAAATTTGTTTTGGAATTAATGATAGAGACTGCAGGTTAATGTTGTCTTCCAAATTACATTAAAGCATGCCAAATAACCAATAAATGCCAACTAGGGTGAAGTTTGGGGTGCATTGTGTAAGTGCAGTTTCCTGATTATTCTGAAAATCAGTCTCTAGATTAGCATATTATGGAATAAGTAGTTTGATGGCTATTTATTTTTTGTGTTGCTCTAACTTCGTTATGACTAATTTGGAGCAACCTCTATATGAAGGTGCTTGTGCTCGGCTGATATGTTGTCTTCCATAGAGTAACAGTTTCCTTTGTGTAATACGTAGTAGTTTCTTTAAGTTGATTAGCGACATTTTCACAGAGCACATGATTGCATCAAATTTCCTTCAAAAGCACAAGTACAAAATGGTTGCTACTTTATTTACAGATTGACTCATTGATTCAATTTGATAATGTTTTTCTCTTTCAAGGAAATTTGTTTTAAAAACATATGCAAAAGTATATTACTTATATGGTCTATATGTAGTGTCTTAACCTATGCTTTCTACCTTGCTATTTGGATATATGTTTTGTGCCTGACAATTGCGTCTAAGGGAGCTAGTATTCTAATGTGTAATCTATACAATTGTGTTTTGTAGTATCACTTGGATTTTTTGATGACATCTATGTACCAGCGGCTTTGATGCCGAATCCTTCACATTCTGAGCCTGATCCTGAAAGCAGGTACATATTTATCCTTTGAAACTATCTTGTAGGGTGACCCTTGAAGTGCAAAAATCTGATCGAATAATAAAATATTCTTTTCTTGATAATAAACTATATTTTCCATTTTACTATTTTAGGAACCAGGTCAGGTGGATATGGGAGTATGAAGGAGAAAAATATCCTATTGATGGTACAGATGAGGTTGTGATACAGTCTAATTTGATGCCTTCTTTACCTCCCTCATTTATTATGGAATTTACATGAATAAAATTGATTCCTATTGCCACAGATTAGATTCCGAGTTCTCGAAATTAGCTATCCATCGTTACCTTTAAATCAAGAGAAAGATGCAAAGCCATTTGCTCCTATGGTGATCACGGTATGTCAACTACGAACTAATGGACTGTTCTCTAGTCTTTGTCAAACTTGATTTTTGTATGTTGACTAGATGTGGTTTATGCACCGGTAGTTTCATGAATTTTACGAGTCTAAATTTGAAAAAGAAAATACAACCTATCTAGGAATAATGCTTTCCTTGTTGAACTGTCAATGATGTATTGATTTTCGTGTTTATTTGAAAATGGCAGGGATCACTTGATGCGGATGGTTTGGGTCCCGTTTCATGGTGGGTGTGAAGTAATGGACATAGGTAAGGTTTTTCACTTTTTTGAGAGGATTGATCTTCTTCCATTTTTCATGCGATCTGAGAACTTCCCCTTTAAGTTTAAACCGGAGGTTGTCGTCATTTTGTAGGATAATAGCAATTGTAAAGATTGTAGTTTAATGAATCAATTTGTGGTGAAAGTTCTGTTACTAGTTAATTTATGCAATACAATCATTGATATATTGTATGGACTATGGTCCACACAGTGTTATGTGGACCAAAAAAATCAGAAGAAGACGTCATTGACTTGGAGGTCATCAATGATTGTCTAGCAAGGGTTGTGATATTGACGAGGAATCTCCGACCTTCATCTTAATTATGCTGGCAGCGACGGCGGAAGCAGGAAGTGTTTCCTCTTTGCCATCCTGACTTGTTGAGAGAACTCCATAGGTGTCAAAAAATCAGGAAACAAAAAATGAAGAGGCGAAAATATCCTTATCTATAATAAGGTTTTATTGGAAAATTCATCGGAAAGATTAAAAGTGATCAAAATATGATAGTCTAGGATATTAAATGGCTAAAATGATAGTTTGTAACTAAATTTGATATTGTCACCAAAGACCATTTTGAAATTTTAAAACCAACAAGAAACCTACGTACAAAATTATTTGGTCCCTTGACTATTAGGATTTCATCAATTTGGTTATCGACTATCAAAGTTGTTCGATTTAGTTCCTAACTATGCAATTTTTACTTAAAATGGTTCCTTGACTCTTAGGATTTCACCACTTTGCTCATTGACTAATAAAATTGCTCAATTTAGTTCCTAACTATGCAATTTTTATCTAAAATGATCCTCCGACACCACTTTGATCATCGATTACCAAAGTTGTTCAATTTAGTCCCCAACAATGCAAATGTTAACTTAAAATGTAAGTTTATTGTGGATTTGGTGATCTTTTTGGAAAATCGAGAACCAAAGTGGTGAAATCTTAATAGCCGATGGACCATTTTAGTTAAAAATTGCATAGTTAAAGACTAAATTGAGCAACTTTAGTAGTCGAAGATCAAATTGATAAAATTCTAATAGTCGGGGATCATTTTAAGTAAAAATTGCATATTTAGGGACTAAATTGAACAACTTTGATAGTCAAAAATCAAATTGGTGAAATCTTAATAGTCGATGGACCAAATTGAATAGAGAAAATTACACTTTTGGTCCTATTACCACCTCTACTATCGTCATAGGACCAAAAGTGTAATTTTCTCAAATTGAATATTAAGTCTTCTTCTATATCAATTGTGAAAGAAAGAGTAGTCTTGAGTAGTTTAAATTCTTGATCTAGCTCACTTGGACCATCATGTATATCAATTTTGAACTATTGTATTGATTTTTTATTTTTTTATTATAGCATTTTTAGTCCAACCATCCGTTTGAAGCTAAAATTAACATCCACATAAATTTGGCATCGATTTCGGATGCTAAAATTTTACATATACTAAACTTGAAAGAAAAATTATATATGTTTTTACTCAAAATGAATATATTCAAAAATAATTTGAATATCATGTATAAAAAGTCAGTCAAAATTCTGAACTTGTGATTAATTTTATAACATTAAATTTCAAAAAAAAAAATTGTAATTGAATTTAAAAAATAGGGTAAAAAATGAGTAAGAATAAAACATGCTCTCTAAATTAGAAAAGAATTCTACTATAGGATTCTCAAATTCTACTCCTTATCCAAGTTTTCTGATGCGACAAGTTTGGATAGGATATTTTCATCGGTCACAAAGAAAGTTGTCTATATTATATACTAGTTACCACACGCGCATTGTGCAAATAGTTTGATGCCCAACAAATATTTTTGAATTAGTGTTTCAGAATTTATCAAAGCATCATTCGGTATCCTGGCGTATATCAATGCAAGATTATCAATTTTTTCCATAAAAGTAAATATTTCAAGAATGCATAAGTATGGCCTGTGGCAGAAATGTTGTATTAACTGGTGCAATTGCAATTTTAGAGGAAAGCACCCTCACTGGACAATATACTAAGCATAATTTTTGAAACACAAAATCATATTAATTGGCATGATCCATGCTTCCTCTTGTTGCCGCTTCCACCAGAAATGAATTCTTGATTTGATCTTGTCTCCTGATGTGTTTCACTGCAATTTTAGTGCCTTGGCGCAATGCACCTTCAAAAACAGAACCAAATCTTTCTTCCCCAACAAGACAATGATAATAGGCATAATTTTTCATATATGTTGAATATATATTGTAAATTAGGTGTATCGTTTCATTTTAGATTTTGACAATGCGTGATTCTAATTAATTGACCAAAGCTCACGTTAGATTTTATATTGTATCTTTTTAATACACTCTAACATATTCATAGTATATGTTTAGCAATTATGTCAATTTTGATTGGGATGGTGTTCGAACCTAAGACCTTCCTTATGAAAATCAAAGAGTAAGTTAAGAATAATAAATAGTTAATGAAATATTCCGTTACTAAAGTTTACATTGACGAAATATAAGGCTATTTAGGAAAATTAAATAATATAATAAAGGGAAAAATAAGATAAACAATAGATGTAAAAATCATTTTTTTTAAATGGCGAGTTAGATGAAGATATCTATATGGAACAACCCGAAGGGTTTGTTGTTCCAGGCCAAGAAAAGAAAGTGTGTAGGTTGGTTAAACTATATGGTTTAAAACAAGCGCCTAAACAATGGCACGAGAAGTTTGACCACGCGATGTTTACCAATGGGTTTAAAATAAATGAAAGTGACAAATGTGTCTATGTTAAGGAAACGATAGGCGGGTATGTCATTCTTTGATTATACGTAGATGATATACTCATTGTTGGTAGTAACGATCGAATGATCAAGTCTACCAAAAACATGTTAAATGCGAGATTTGACATGAAGGACATGAGTTTGGCTGATTTAATCATTGAGATTAAAATCATTAGAAGACCTGATGGTATTGTGTTGAGCTAATCTCATTATATTGATAAAATCCTTGCAAAATTTAACAAGGATGATGATCAATTGGCGATGAGACCGTTTGATACAAACGTTCATCTAACCAAGAACCATGAAGAGGGTATTTCTCAAATAGAATATGCTCGGGTTATTGGTAGTTTGATGTATCTTATGAGCTAAATTAGGCTGGATATTGCATTTACGGTTAGTAAACTCAGTAGATATACGAGTAACCCCGGTGCAATGCACTGGAAAGCAATAGTAAAGGTCATGAGATACTTGAGGTATACTCATGACTTTGGGATGCACTATGCGAGATATCCTACTATACTTGAAAGGTATAACGACGCTAACTGGATATCAGATATTAAGGACTCCAAGTCCACGAGTGGTTACGTCTTTACACTAGCTGGTGCAGCCGTTACCTGAAAATCCTCAAAGTAAACCCTGATAGCTAGATCCACAATGGAATCTGAGCTGATAGCCTTGGACAAAGGTTGTGAAGAAGCTAAATGGCTACGCCATTTTCTCGAGGAAATTCCTAGTTGGGAAAGACCTGTACCTCTAATCTATGTGCACTGCGATAGTCAAGCCACAATTGGGAGAGTACAGAGTCATATGAATAATGGTAAGTCTAGACATATGCGTCATAGACATAATACAATTAGACAACTTTTCACAATGGGTATTGTCTCGATTGACTACGTACAGTTAAAATACAATATAGCGGATCTGTTAACCAAAGGGTTAGGAAAATAAGTTGTGGAGAAATTGACACGAGAAATGGGTCTAAAGCCCTTGGTATAAAAGGTCTATAGTGGACACCCAACCTAGCTAGCACATAGGTTCAAGGGGACAACTAAATTATGGAACGAAGCGTGTCACTGTGGGGGTCTCCGACTCTCTACTACTCCTCGTTAGAATAGTGATTTCCATACGAGGTTAGCACGTTAAAGCTTTAATGATTCAAAATGCCGGTTGACATGTGTGAGTATACGGGATACTCGTAAAAGAATCACCTATGTGAGAGAGAAGTGAGGGTTGCTTCAAAGGAGAATTGGTATGACTCAATTCTTCATAAACTCTTGCAGAACCAGGAACGGTGACCCACGACTCAAACAGGCACAGTTATGAGAACAAAGCATGTTTGGGAGGTTCTTGTGTGAGATATGTCATCGTCTACACAAACGGCGGTAGGTTCAAAGACATCGTATTTTACCGTACAACAAGTAGAGTAAACGTATCTTCACAAGGGAAGGTTCAAAGGGTAACACCTACCTATCCTATCCAGGGAATCATGGATCGACCGTTGAACATAGTTGTTTTAGGGAAAAACCCATAATACTAGGAAGTAAATGTCTTAGAATAAATATATATGGGCTAGTTCAAAGAATTTGACTCTTGGTTTAGAAATATTTTAGGAATTATTCCAATTAAAGAGTTGGGCTCAACAAGAGAACAAATTCATTCTTAGAAAATAATTACAGGCAATATTTTTGGAAATAAAATATTACGGGATGTCACATGTAGATTTGAGTGCAAAGAGTAAAATTTGAGGTTAAAAAAAGAAGAATTTTTCGCACTTTTAATCGCGCGACTATAGTGTCACTAACAACTTTGATCCACAACTTTCTAAACTTGTATAATTGGTCCACGGCTATTACGTTCTTAGCGAATTTGGTCATTCCGGTGCATTCTCCGTTCAACTTTAGCCGGACGTTTTTTTTTTTTTGTTTGTTTTTTTTTTTGTTTTTGTTTTTTTGTTTTTTTGTTTTTTTTTTTCATTTTTAGCATTGATAATATTGTCTTTCCTTCTCACCGTGGTTGCAGGATTGGTCCACAACAGTTTTCTTCCTACTCATTATCCTCTTGACACCTCCAGCCTTCATTTTTTCTTAGCAAAATTCCTCATCATTTCAAACAAAAATAATAAATATTATATTTTTGTTGAGAAAATAGCTTAAAATGACATAATAAGTGGCTATTTTGTGGTACAATTATTAGTGGGGTCCACTTTCGATTTGGATCGGGTCAAAGTGGATTCGGTTTCTTCATAGTAAGACGAAGAGATTTATATATTATACGCTAAAAACGGATAATCGATGAATGAGAAATTGATTTTCAAAGTAAACCCATTTGAGTTGGAAAAATAAAGGGAAAAAGCTTTAAAGTAGCATTTGTCCCACATTGGTTTGGGAAGTGGGTTTGTACTACTATTTATACAAGAACATTTCTAATATTTATTGATTTATATAGTATAGAGGTTCTTTCTTGCATGTAGGGGGTGTAAATCAAATCTAAAAAAATGAGCGTGAAAATGCTTGTGTACGTTTTCAGTTTTTCCTAGAAAATAATAATTCTTTTTTCATAGGATTATTATTGACATTTTAACCTTATTTGCAATTATTATTATTATTATTATTATTATTATTATTATTATTATTATTATTATTATTATTATTATTATTATTATTATTATTATTATTATTATTATTATTATTATTGTTATTATTGTTATTATTGTTATTATTGTTATTATTGTTATTATTGTTATTATTGTTATTATTGTTATTATTGTTATTATTATTATTATTATTATTATTATTATTATTATTATTATTATTATTTGTAATACCAACACAAGTTTAATTATATCACAAAAACTATTTTTTTAAACACGTTTTTAAAAATTTTCAGGATAGATGTGAAACACAATCAATTAGATAAAACAATTTGAATAGAAAATACATTTTAAACCACACCATCTCTAATTTTCTATTGATATTATTATATTCATAAATGTTTTTTCTTCTAGTTAGATCAAATTTAAAATTTTCTAAATAAATTTGAATGCGATAAAATATTAAATAAACTTGTAGACTACATTGACTAAATGATTCATAAAAAGTAGATTTAAAAAAATATTTGTCATAATAAATCACAAAATGTATTTAATATCAATTAATAAATCCATTTAAATAATTATTATCACATGTACTATATTATAAAATTACACAAATTAATTCACATTATAAATATACGTACTAATACGTAACAAACTATAAATCTCACAAATTAACACACATTATAAATATAAGTAGTAAAATACTCAATGAGAAATAAATTTTAAATTTTGATATTATTTAAAAATCAGTCTAAATTAGAGGTGCTTATAATTCAGCGAGTGAATTAGTCACTGTGATTGACGTTAATTAAATGTTTAAATTAATAGTTAAATTATATACATAATTTGCGTATTATGTGTTTAAGTATATTTTATGTTGAACATGTTGACGGACGATAGAGATGCGAAGTGAACATTGCACGTTGTTTATTCAATTCTGATCGCTACGAAAAATAAATAAATCGCCAAATGCATCTTATGTAATCAGTTTTGTAATATTGTTAAATATAAGAAGAAATTGAAAAAAAAAAAAGATGAAAGGGTCAAATATTCTATTACTGTCTTACTGATAGTGAGATGGAAAAAGACAATATTACCTATGTTAAAAATGTGATTTTTTTTTTTTTGATTAAAATTGAACGGAGAATGTATCGGAAGGACCAAATTCACTAAGAAAGTAATAGCTATGGATTAATTTTACATTTTAAAAATTGTGGATCAAAATTATTAGTGACACTATACTAGTCGGACCAAAAGTGTAAAAAAAATCAAATAAAAAACTATGGAAACTGAGGTTAACGTACTTATACTGTGGCTACCGAGTTAATTCGCACTATAAATGTCGTGTGATTACTTTTTCGTTCCCCGATTAATCTGAGTTTCTCAATAGTCAATACCTCAGCGGGTTAGGGTTTACGACCCTGAGCTTCCTTCTGGATAAAAAAAAAAACTCAGGTAAACTCAGAGCTCAACATTCTCTTCCTTAACTGGCAATTCAATTATGTGAGATTCCTTCTTTTTCTTTTTTGTTGCATTTAATATGCTTTTGTCTTCGAAACTTTCCTCAGATCCATAGATCGCAAGGTAGGTGTGTACATGTGAATCGGTAGATTGTGCTTATTTTGAGAATTGTCTTAGGGTTTTGTTTGACTGATGATACTACTGTTTGACTGGTTCGGATGATGATGTTCGTTCGGATCTGTGAATTTTGTAGCGCCGAGTAGTGGGTTATTCTTATTCTGTTATGCCCAATTGAATGTTGATATTTAATTGTTCTTAGTCTGATCTATGAAGTCAAATGTTGTACTATGTGCCCCAATGGGGAGTACACATAATTGATTATAAATTTTTTATAAGAGTGCATAATGATTTCAGGATTTTTGCTGATGAATTGTAATATCTGCCTTGATTTCTTATAGGGGGCAACAATGGCGTCCAAGCTTCAGCAAGTTTCAGCAAAGGCTTGTGAATTAACAAAGTTTGTTGCCAAGAATGGTTCGACTTACTACAGGCAGGCATTGGAGCAGAACAAACAGTATATTGTTGAGCCTCCGACTGTGGAGAAGTGCTCTGAGTTATCTAAGCAGCTGTTTTACACTCGCCTTGCTAGGTTACTTTTTCCATCTAAATTGCTTAATGTTTGTGTTCTATTAGCTGATATAGTTTTAACTTGTAAGAAAATAACATCATTGCTTTGATTCAGACATGCATATCCAAACATTACATAAACTTGTTTGATGTCTCTTTTATTCGTAGTTTTTCCTGTCAACCACTTCACTTGCTTAATTCTTATTTTCTTAGTATTTTACACTTGAGGATTAATATCTTTTCAACAGTTTTCATCTTCATGTTCATGCTGAACTCTATGATGTGTTAGTATGCATAAGCTTTCAACTTCCTTTTCTGCCTTCAAGAATTACTTTCCTACTGTTATGGGTACTTTCAGAAAAGTACAAATTTTATTCTAAAAATTCATATTAAATGAAGGTATATGATTTAACTCATTCAGTAAAATGCATTGTTACTTTGATCATATAACTAGCACGCCACAATACTTGCTATTTTAGTAGTTTTCTTAAACTTTTTCCCTTAATATTGTTGGTAGGACTCTTATTTGCTTCTCAAGTATCTAACGGCTTGATTTAATTGATAGAGCTTGGGGCTTAGAATGACCTTAGTTTTCATGTGTGACTATAACAAAACCATACTTGTGGGCCATGCAAAGTAAATAAAATAACCACCATCTTGGATATGGAAAAATCCGAAACACAATAATTATAGATGAAGTAACAGAAAATTTTGTTGCCATATAACCCTTTTGTTTTGTGAAGTTGAACAAAGAATATGTTTAATATAATCAATCAGTGGTAACACCATTAATCCAGCATATTTCTTTTATGATAGGTAGAAAATTATCTTGCTCATATTTTAGTCACCTCATGACTGTTTTTGACTACATTCCAGTACATCCCATGAAATTTTTCCTATTACTTTCATTTATTGGGCCCTTTAGAAGAACAACTGCATGTGTTCAAGTGTCTGAAATTGTTGGTCTTTTGTGGGGAGTGGTGGACAGAGTACTTAAATTGAATGGTTATGGCCGCTCTATTGAGTATTGATAATATAGTAGTCTACTATATCTATATCACTATATGCACTTGCTATAATGATGATGAGTTGCTAACCTTTTTATATATTATGTGCAGCATTCCTGGGCGGAATGAAGCATTTTGGAAGGAGCTGGATTATGTGAAGAACATGTGGAAGAATAGGCAGGAGTTGAAAGTTGAACATGCCGGTATTGCAGCTTTATTTGGGCTCGAGTGCTTTGCATGGTTTTGTGCTGGAGAGATTGTAGGAAGAGGTTTTACATTCACTGGTTACTATCCTTGAAAAAGAACAGTTGATCATACATTATTTAGCCAAGTTGATGATAGCTATAAGCTTTCTGTGTTTATTAAGATGATCTGAGTGAGAGCTGACACTCCTACATCAAGATTGTTTCCCTCAAAAAAGTTTTTGAAGCTGACAATTCAGTGCTTAACTTTGATTGCTACAATAATACAGCTATTCTTGTGTTCAACTTTGTGTCCAGATGGTATTTTCTGTATTAAAAACTTTTGATTCAAATGAAAGAAGATTCTTATTTCAAAATAAATAATTAGTAAGTTGGAATTTAATTGTTCTCTTCTTCCCTTCCTCAAATGCTGTAAAAAGAAAAATATGAAAATGCAAAAAAAAAAAAAAAAAAACAATATTATTATCATCATTCTACATTCAATGGAGGAATGAAGAAGGTTTGCAGGTTCAATGATATAGAATCACATGATTCACATTCAAGGGAATCATTGGCAGTCAGTTCTAGATTGGAATGGATATATATGTCAACCATTTTCAAGAATGCTAGAACGAGGTTACACACCCCTTTGTTCTTTCTGAAGATATATAATTAACCACACTTTTTGCCTCTTCACGTATTTTTATTATTACTTATTTTAAACTGATATAATTTGTGAAAGTTATTATTTTTTTATCAATTACATTACGTTTTTATGCTTATTTATCAATTGTGATTAAAGAAAATATAATTTTAATTTTTGATTTGTACATGATTTTATTTTTACTTTTTTAAATATTTTTGCCCTAATTTATAGAATGATTAAAAAAAGGATAAATTAAAGACATTAGGATAGATTATTTATTTATTTATTTATTTATTTATTTATTTATTAATTATAATTATTAGGGAAAATGTACAAATAGGCTATTGAAGTATTTGGGGGATAACAATTAAGCCACCGAACTCGAATAAGCTCTAAAATCATCCATGAATCTGGAAAAAAAAAAGTGCAATTAACATTTTTAGCAGGTTAACAACAAGTTTGAGTTTCCATGTGTATATTTTGTTTTATATTTTATTATTTTTATTATCTTACTAAGCATTTGACCCTCTTCCTGGATGCCATGTTTTCCTGATTTTATTTTCTGACGTGTCGGGTACTGTATTTAAAAATAATTTTTTAAATTTATTTTAATAATTTCAAATAAAATAATTATTTAAATAAATAAATAAATAAAATAATTATTTTGAAATTAAAAAAAAAAAAAACAGCCTCCATGGCTAGTTGGAGACGAAGGGGACCCTTCGTCTCTGGCCAGCCAGTCAAGGAGACGAAGGGTCCCCTTCGTCTCCGGCCGCCATGGTGACGAAGGGGATCGTTTCCATGGCTAGCCGGAGACGAAGCGGTACCGCTTCGTCTCTATGGCTGGCCGGAGACGAGGCGGTTCCCACCCCTTGGTCTCCGGCAAGGTTTTTTCTTAAAAAAAAAATTGATTTTAAAATAATTATTTTATTTATTTTATTTTATTGAAAATAATTATTTTATTTGAAATTATTAAAATAAATTTAAAAAATAATTTTTAAGTACAATACCCGACACATCACAAAATAAAATCAGGAAAATATGACATCCAGGAAGAGGGTAAATGCTTAGTAGGATAATAAAAATAATAAAATAATAAAATATACACATAGCAACCCAAACATGTTAACCTGCTAAAAATGCTAATTGCACTTTTTTTTCCAGGTTCATAGATGAATTTGAAGCTTATTCGAGTTCGGTGGCTTAATTGCTATCCCCCAAATAGTTCAATGGCCTATTTGTACCGTTTTTCTTATTATTATGGCAAAAGTGCCAAATCGCACCATGAACCAATTGCGATTCTTCATGCCACACCCTGACCTTTCATTAGTGCCTATTCGATGCACAAACCGTCAAATTTTTTCCAATTAGTCGTTTTTTACAAGTAGCACGCAAGTTCTAGGTAATGCGTTGCTGATGTGGACGTGGTATGCTATTGGCGTGTTTTAAGTTGTAGAGGTGGCAGCCAATTCATCAGTTGTCTAAATTAAACCCAAATTGATACCTAATTCACTAACCCTAAATTGAAATCGCTGACCCTAACCGGCCGACTCGCGACTCAAATAGCGATCTGAAACCATCCAATCTCCCGTTCTACCATCCAAACCCTAAATCACTAAGCCTGACGACATCCCATACATCGCAACTACCATTGGACGATGAAGGAAAAATTTCTGGCATTCGTAGGCAATATTTACGAAAGAAGACTAAGGTATGTTGAAGTAACTGTATATGTAGAACAATGTACACTATTATAATGTTTTCTTATGCGAATATGCTTTGAATATGTTTTGAATTTGCTTTGATTTGCTTTGAATATGCGTTGAATGCGGCGTGGTCCATGGTGCTGTTGCTTTTGCTTTAATTCAGTATTGATTTTGATGTAGTGGGGTCCATGTATACTGCATTTTTTATGTATATGCTTTGACAAAGTGTGGTCCTGCATTTGTTTACTCTTTTTTTTTTTTTTTTTTTTTTTTTTTTTTGAAAACTGCATTTGTTTACTCTTACTTATGACAATTGTTGTCTGTATAAAGTGTGTCAATGGTTTTATGTTGAAATGTGCATTGTATTTGTGTTGTCAGGATGAATGAAACTGTGGAATTAATTATTCATCATGGTCGCAATTTCGTGCAAAAGCCTAGGTTGAAATATTTGAATGGGGAGACAGAGGTAGTGACTGTGGATCCTGATTTAATATGCTATCCACACTTAGTAAAGTATATAGCAGACCAAAGATATGGAAAAATAGCCTATCTGACTTATAAGTTGACCACTGAACCCTTTACAAATTTAAAACTATTAAATAATGATGCTAGTAGTCTACACTTAACTAAGATTGCTTGTGAAAATAAAAGGTGTGAGATTTATGTGGAACATGGGGTAGATGAGCTTGAGCTGGTTGGTTTAAGTTTACCTGGGCCTAGAGTCCAATTCAAGCTTGCTATGATAAGTTATGTTGTTCACACCAAGAGAGAATTATTTTGGAAAAAAAAAATGGGCTAAGGTATGCTAGGGTTGAGTGTCTTGGAAAGGGGTGTGCATTTCATATAAGTGCTGGGAGGGAAGAAAGAACCAAGTGTTTTCAAGTTAAAGCAATTATGTTGGAGCATAAATGCAACAATCAATTCACATTAGGGATAGTTAATCAAAAGTGGTTAGAGTGGAAATTTGAAGAAAATGTGAGGCAAAATCCAACAATTGGATACTCTGAGTTGAGCAGAGACATTAAGTCTGAGATGAACATTAATGTGACTGTCAGTATGTGTAGAAGGGCAGTGAATGTGATTCTGAAGAAGTTGGATATTGGTTATGAGAGTCAGTTCAAAAAGGCTTACGAACTATGCTCAAGAGTGTTTGAATTCAGATCTAGGCAGTACAGTGAAGATTAAAACAACCAGAATTGTTCCTACTTCACCTTTGGTATTTCAGAGGATCTATGTATGTTTTAATGCCTTGAAGAAGGGGTTTTTAGAGTGTTATAGGAGGTTTATTGGACTAGATAACTGTTTTTTAAAAGGCAAATTGAAGGGTGAATCCTCACAGCTGTGGGTAGAGATGTGAATAATCAAATGTACCCAATAGCTTGGGTTGTAGTGGAGATTGAAAACAGCTCTTGTGGGAGATGGTTTCTGGAATTTTTGAAGGCAGACCTGGGAATAGTGGATAATACTCAATGGACATTGATGAGTGATCTGCAAAAGGTCAAGCCATCACTCAATTCTGTACTTCTTTAAATATGTTAATAAAACTTAATCTGTTGCTAACATTAAATATGATTTTGCAGGGTTTATCTAATATCATACTAGAAGTATTCCCTGGGGTTGAGCATAGAAACTGTGCTAGGTATGTGCATGCCAATTGGAGTAAGAATCACAGAGGGAAGGTCCTAAAAGCTCCTTTCTGAAGATTGCAAGGACTCCAACTGAAGCACTACTAGCAGAGAAGTTGAAAGATCTAGAGAAGGTAGATGATAGGACACTTCATGACCTGACCAGGTACCTAATGCAGAACTGGTGGAAAGCTTACTTCAAAGAAGAAGTAAAATGTTACATGGTTGACAACAATTTAAGTGAGGCATACAACAAGACATTGTTGAATGCAATGTCAAAGAACATTACTCCAATGCTTGAAGATATAAGAGTTGCAGTGATCAAGAGGATTGCTAAGAAGAAAGCAATTGCTGAGAGATGAAGTAGGAATTTTGGCACAAATGTCCTCAAGAAGTTGAATGAAAATATACTTGGTAGTGCAGATTGGGAAGTAATCTTCGATGGAGCTGATGGATATGAGGTCAAAAGGGGTAGATTTCAATTCAAGATCAATTTGGAGTTGAGGACTTGTTCTTGTAGACTTTGGAAGTTGACTAATTTGTGCCATATTTCACAAGGGGCATCAACCAGATCAGTACATCCATGAATGGTACACTAAGGATCTCTACTTGAAGACCTATGAGCATGTAATACAGCCTATGAATGGAGAGCAGATTTGGCCAAGAACTGAAGGAGATGAGATACATACTCCAGTTCCAAGGAAGATGACTGGCAGGCCAAAAAAAAAGGTTGAAGATGATGAAAAGAACAAAGACAAAAACAAATTAAGTTCAGAGGTTAAAAAGCTGTCCAAGAAAGGAAGGATCATGACCTGTCAACTATGCAAGGGTAAAAGTAGGGGTGTTAGCGAACAGAGCTTTCGGCAAACTACTCGTGTTCGTGTTCGGTAAGCGTTCGTTTATGTTCGTTTGTTAAGGTAAACGAACATTAACAAACGAAATATAGAGCTCGGTTAATAAACGAACAGAGCTTGAACAGTTGTAAGATTGTTTGTTAAGAGATCGTGAACAAGCTCGTTTGTGTTCGTTAACTAATGTTCGTGAACAAGCTTGTTTATGTTCGTTTAACAATGTTCGCGAACATGTTCACAAACATATATATATATATATATATATATATATATATATATATATATATATATACACACACACACACACGAACACTAATA